AGCGCGGAGCTGGACGTGGAATCCCAACCTCACACCTGCAGCCACCGAGTTAGCCAAATCCTCTGTGATTATGAACAGACACCAAGTGTTACCAGACACTTAGAAAAAAATAACAATGCAAGACAGAAGCCTGCAGAGTAAAACAGGAAAGCTTCCAGAATGCAGAACAAGACAAGGAGGTTTAGATAAGGAACGCAGGCTAAAAGGCACAGAGGATCAATCTAGTGCAACCGAAATATATTCAAAAGAAGTTTGAGGGGAGATCAGAGAAGACAGAGGTGATGGGTATGTCTGTTACCTCTGATTGTGGTCATGGTTTCACAGGTGTGTGCATATGTCCAGACTCATCAAATTATATGCAATAAATATGTGCAGGTTTCTGTATATCAATTATGCCTCAATAAAGCTATTATTTAAAAAGAATAATTGTGCTCCAAAGGACACCATCAAGAAAGCTAACAGGAGAGCCCACAAAATGGAAGAATACATTATTTAAGCAATACTGTTTAAAGAAATTTTTAAATCTCAATTTTAATTCGCAAAATAAGAAGAAAATTCTTACCTTCCAGATTTTCAATTTTTTCAATGTTGTTTAAAGCTAAATTCAAATATTCAAGTTTCTTGAGTTTGCTCACATTTTCTGAAATATACAAATAATGTAATTAACCTTCCAGATGAAAGACATTTTTACATAATCTACTGTGAAGATGATAAAGAGAATCTAAAAATTACTGTGGCTATCCAACCATGCTGGTTTTTCAGATCTACCCCTGTGCTTCACACTTTGTTGGCTGGCTGTGCAACATCCACTTCTCCCCCCATCCTTTCTAACACAAGCCAGTTCTGCTCACGTCTCTTCCCAGCCCCGACTCCAGGGTTAGGCTTAACCAAGCTGGGCCAGTGCATGGCAATCCCACGTCCCTTGCTAGTGACAGCTCAGGATCTCAGGCGCAAGTGAACCAGCCCATGGCCATCTCCTGGCAACCATGCGATGCGGGAGAGGACACACAGGCCCAGTGTTCCCGACCAGATGAAAGGGGAAGATCTACAGTCCATGCTTAGGGATTTCCTTTCTCTTTTTCTGCTGAATGTTAAAAAAGAAGGGAGTACTCTCCCCTATTGACACAGTCATCTTGCAAGCAGGAGGGGACCAGCTACAGGATGAAGCCACTACAGCTGGTGGAGCAGAGAGAAGGAATCAACGGCCAAGAGATAAAGCCTGCCCTATCTCTAGACGGATCATTGGATGAGATGCTCGGCTTCCTTACTGGAAAGCCACACTGAGTTGGGCCTTCCTTACTTGGAGCCCAAGTCACCCTGATACAGGATCACCGTTTTTAATAAATATGAAAGCTTATATAGGCAAAGCAACAACCATAAGTAAGTCAAGTAATCAGTGGAGAACGGGCCTTTGAAAACAGCTAATAACACCAAGGCTAACACTGCCGAGTGCTAATTACGTGCCATGTGGTTTTCTAAGCATTTCGCATACATTATGTCATTAATCCTCATAATAACCCTATGAGGTAAAAACTCTATCAATCTCTCCCTTTTACAAATGAGAACACCCAGTTGTGAAGAATTAATCCACTTGTTCAAGGTTAAGTGGTAGAGCCAGAAAATCTGACTCCAGAGCTTGTTGGTAAATCACTATGCTCACTACACTTGAAAGAACAGTCCTTTCTCAGGTGACACGGGTGTAAAAACCCTGCTGAGAAGGGTGTGCTTGGACAGCCCCGCTTAGAGAAGGCTTCCTCTGCCCATTTTCCAGGGACACTATAAAGATCTAATATGATGATTTATAACCATCACCCTTATTGTCCCATTTCATTTAAAATTTACAAAATATCATATATGTTACCATAGACCCAAGAATTAGTTTTTCTCTCTAAGCCTCAATTTATTCATTTTTCAAAATGAAAATTTTAGAAAAAAATTACTAAAGTGTCTCTCAGCAGTTAGATTATCCTAGGCCATACTGATGCTTGGTAAAGGTACTCTAGGTGACATCTGCACATTTGAGAGTCAACAGAGATGCAGAGCACTAAGCGACAAGGGTTTAGATGGACAAGAGTGTCTACTCTGCATTCCGAACACAAACACCTGAAGTTAACATCGTTAAAATTGCCAGCCCACGATTAAATACCTCTTCCTGTCCCCCATTTGTTATATGGTTAACCCTCTAAAAGCCAAAAAAGTCATCTGGTAGACAAAGGTAAAATTGTTCAGGAAGCATGTCCTACATTAACTCAAGAACCAGGGCCTAGAGGGTCAGGGAAAAAGGCTCCATAAGTAAGAAAGCGTAGCGCCTTGAGGGCAGTGGGAAGGAGGTCTGAGCATCCTAGCCAAGCCACCCTGGAAGAAGTTGTCACCGAGCGCATAACCAGCCCTATCCCACCCCAGTTCAAGCAGCCCTGAGCTCTCAACTTGGCCCAGGCCTGAAGCTCACAGGAAAGTCATTACAAATGCAGGTTCTAGGAGCCCCTGCCCCAGATTCTGAGTCCATAGGTCCAGGGTGGGGCCTGAGTCCCACTTCAACAGGACCCCAGAGGGTCCTCAGCTCACAGCTGGACCAACACTAAACAGAGCCTTCCCCGCCCCCACTCCCCAAGCCCACCTGTATCTCCAGTGAGGAACAGAGCTCAGGAAAGGCACACTCCCACCCCCAGGGCACAAGGGCAAGCCTGAACCCTAGAGAAATGGTTTTACTAGCTAAGTAAGGGCCTGAGTGTCAATGGGTGGAGTAGCACTGAAAATCCCATTATTAAAATTTAAAAGGGTGTTTAATTTAAGAACAGTTTGGAAGCAAAAATGTAAGCCTTCTCGCAGCTCTGGGAAGGACTGAAATGCTATGCACTAATTAGTCATTGTGATGGACCAGCTGTGCGGAGTGAAATCTCGGGAACTCTTAGAACTGTCCAAGGACGGCCCTGTAATGGCCCCGGTGCATGAAAGCTGGTGGTTTTCCAGAACAGCCTTTTAATTGAACACTGTGCCCGAGTTTCCAATTTCTGGTAGTCAAAGATGCCAAAAATAACATTCTGAAGAAATATAAAGAATTCTAATAAATCTTAAAAAAAAAAAGATGCAAATTCTAGGTTTTTGCAAACTTAGAGCCAATTTGGAATCATCCGCCCAACTAGGGGCAACCCCATCCCAGGTTTCTCGCCCCCNCTGTGCCCGAGTTTCCAATTTCTGGTAGTCAAAGATGCCAAAAATAACATTCTGAAGAAATATAAAGAATTCTAATAAATCTTCAAAAAAAATGATGCAAATTCTAGGTTTTTGCAAACTTAGAGCCAATTTGGAATCATCCGCCCAACTAGAGGCAACCCCATCCCAGGTTTCTCGCCCCCAGCACACTAACATGTAGGCCTGGCGACTTTCTCGAGTGCGGGTGCCATCCTGGGGTGGTAGCAGAACCCTGGCCTCCACGCACGCCTGACATTGGCAGGCCCTCACCCCCACCAAACACACGTACACTGGTGACAACCAAATATGTCTCCAGACTTTGCCAAAGCCCCTGTTGAGGACCCCTGCCCACCACCTTGAAGAATTAAAACATAACCTTATAGGCTGACCTCTGGGTTCCAGGCCAGGCCCTACAGGGGTTGGCGCTCACTCTGCCTCCTCAACGCTGACTGCACCCCTTCGCCTCCAGCTCTGGTTGGTCCTCCCTTCTGCTCCCACCTTCACTGGGCTAGCGTGGGGCACCCTGGGTAAGTGACAATATGGACAACGGCAGCAGGTGTCACCTACGGACGCGGATACGGAGTGACTCCACACACGCCTCCTGCAGTCCTCACCCCACCGTGTCTGCTGGCTGCTACTATCTCTGTTTACAGACGGAAAGACCAGGACTCAGGCAACTTCACCATCTCATTTCGGACAGTTTCTAAGCGGCAGAGGCGCGGCTCAAACCCAGATCTACCTGACGTCAGGGCAGCGCCTGCTCTAACCACTAAATACACTGTCCGTCTTCTGAGTGTTGGGGGTGCTCCTCCTGCTCCCATGTGGCGGGACCCCCCTTAGAACGACTCCACAGGCCTCCCTTCTCTCCCCCTGACTCATTATGGCCTGCGGGGGGGAGGACTGGCTAATCCCCTGGATGAACTGGCGGAAACCGCACCCGCCCGTCCCACCCTCTCTCCTGGCTTCTGGGATCTCCCTGCGGGCAGAGGGTGCAGGGTCTCCTCTGCTCCTGCCACAAGCAAGGGCCACGTGGGCAAGGGGAGCTGTGGTTGTCGCCTGCTTGGGTCCGGGCGGGCAGGATTCATTCTGGGGGCATTAGGAAGCCCACTGGGCTGCAAGTGTCAGCCGCATGTTCTAAAGAGTCCCATCACTTACAGTGCTGGCATTTTGACCTTCATCCGCCCGACTCCTATGTTTACCTCTCATTTCTTTCCAAACTAGAGCAGTTCATCTGGCTGAACAGCTGTCACAGGCTGTGGTAACCTGGAGGACTTGCTCAATTTATACCAAGTCCTTTCGGTTTCATAGTGATGTCAAACCATGACAAATGTTGGGTCGTGTCCCCTCCTCCCTTGCAGACTTTTCAGAAACCCAGCCATACATACAGGTCAACTACCGTGCTCCTGCCTTTATTGCCCCTCCCAACCCCCTGACGAGGTCCCTTGGGGCGAGGAGACTGACCACCCCTGGACAGGTTCGGGAATGTTCCACACACAGCCTCTGAGAGATGGCTGTGTCCGCTTCCCTGTGTAATTCTTCCTTAGCTGCTGTCTTCCTCTAAGGATAACACTCACTCCCCTTTCCAAAGTTCTCCCATCAAAATGTTCACGAAACCATGAGAACAAAGTCCTGAAAACTTACCAATCTTCCCAATGAGATTGTTTTGAAGGTAGAGGATCTTTAGATCCCGGCACCATCTGTCAATATGCTCCAGCCTTTCTATTTCTTGCTGATGCAAGGACAGTTCCTCCAGGGAAAAGATCACACACTCGTTGTGCTCAGCGTTCCGCCTAATAAGATCTTCTGTGACTGAAAGGACATTTGTTACATGCTACGCATCTGTCCTCGTGTTCATCATCAGGTGATTACATTACTGATGCATGGGTCTTTCTTTGCAGTTAAATGCTGATTCTCCAGGCCCAAGCAATGTTCAAAAGGAAAGGGCTCAGACAAGTGCTGCCCCCTGCTGGGGGTTCTGTGGCACCACCATGGGTCAGAGGGAAGAGACAGACCGTAGCTTTCTCTCTTTTGCACAGGATCTACACACATTTTGCTGTATGGGTGGAGACAGAGTTGACAGGTGACAACTACAAGAATGTTGACGTGAAATCTTATGGTTGTGTCATACCAAACCAGTGAGACCCAAGAAGTAAACCAAGACAGAGCAACTTGCTACTAGAGGCACAGGGGGTTGACAGAGGGCAGAAATAGGAAAGCATCTCCCACCATGCAATAAGGAAAGGGTCATCCACTCATCCACTCAACTGGTAAGTGTTAATTTAACTAAAGCCGAGGAAAAGAGAGAGGAACACCCAGCTTTTGCATTTGCAATCTTATAAAGCAACCTTAATGTGGTCTGTTTCCAGGAAGAGTGAAAGAAGCTGCTCACAGGAGGACAGGTAACAAGAGTCTCCTCCCCAGTGATATGTAGCACTGGGCTGGTCTGATGGTAGCACCAAGGGATGGGAGACAGGACCCTGGGGTCCACAGTTCGATCCAAGGACAAGACATAAGTCATCTTCATAAGTTACACTAAAATTGAGGAGGCAATGACAATGGAGAAACCTTGCATTTCCAGGGCTATTAAAAATTATTAATCCATTTGAACCCTTACATTTTAGGAATGTGAAAATATTGGATGCCCACCCCAAGAGGTAATAAAGATTCATTTATTGTCCATTTACATGGTGCCAGGCACTTTGGAGGTAAGAACATAGAAGTAGATACAACATCTATTTACATTTGTCAGATGAGTAAAGGCAGTTTGTAAACTCACCCAAGGTCTTTGTAGGAAGTGCTAGAGCCGCGTTTTTGATTGATTTAATTATTGATTTATTTATTTATTTTTAAATATGTCTTTACTGATTTCAGAGAGAGGAAGGAACAATGAAAAAAGAGTCATTGATCAGGTGCCTTCTGCACACACACACACACACACACACACACACACACTGGGGGTCAAGCCCAAAACCCAGGCATGTGCCCTGACTGGGAACAGAACCTCGATCTCCTGGATCATAGGTCGATGCTCAACCTCTGAGTCATGCTGAGTGGGCTAGAGCCACGTTTTAAATGCAGGAGTCTGGCACCTGGCCACATGCTAACTACTATGCTACACTGTCGCCAACACGAGCTAGTAAAAACCTCTCGAGACGTCTTGGGTCCTAAATGTGCGGTCTCCTCTAGCTGAGACACAGCTCTTCACAGCACCTTCGGCTGCCAGCACCCATGCCACATCCTGGAAGTATAAGTTACCTTTATTTAAAAAATGTGAAACATGTATGAACCTGATCAGCTGTGCGCAGTTAGGTGAACCCTCTGCTACTTCTGGTGACAGGAGTGCCTTACAATGTCAGTTCTTTGGAAGAAAGACAAGGGAAAGGAAGAGACTGAGAGATTAAAACACCATGCAGGGGAAATGCTCCTGCTGCTCTAAGCTCTGGCTCCACAAACAGGCGGAGATGACTACAGACCAGGCCCCGGAGGGGAGGGCCAGAGGAACTGAGGAGAGCAAGGCTGCAGGGTCCCTGCCAGCCCTGGCTCGCTGGGTCCCACTGCCCGAGGCACTCTGCTGTCTCTAGGTGGCCCCGCTAGGAGGTAAACCAGCTTGAAGAGGCTGCTCTGTTCTGGGAAAAGAAAAACACTGTCTGAAAAACCAAACCTAGAAGAGAAGGGCATTGAAACTATTCTCCAAATGCCCTACCATCAAAGTTGGTTCCAACAGTAAATCAGCTGATAATGAATAAATGGGCACAGCCACGGTGAGGATACAGCTAGGCTGCTGTGTAAAGCCAAAGGGTATTTACCTAGGTATTATCTGCACCCGTAAACTAGCTACAAGAATTCTCTTAGCAAGGATGCAACATGGGTTAAGGGGTTGAGATGGCACAGCCAATGTTATTTCATTCACCACTGTGGAGAAAACCCCAATGACTAACGGTGTACATATGATGTAAGCTACACAAATCCATGGATGAGGGAGGGTGGATTTTTAGAGACCTTGCTATCATTAAACCTGGAATGAATGGGGCCAGAAGGACGTTCCTGTCCAGAGCCCATGCCCCAGGGAGAGGAGCAATGGAATTCTCTGTCCAAGTTGCTCCACGTCTGCCTCTAAGCCCCGCACTGGCCCCTTCTCCATTCATTCCTGAAGACACACTGCAGCAGCAGGTATGCATCTCTACACCCAGGGTGTCCAAGGAGCAGCTGTCCCCTGGGGATGAGGGCAGTGTGGTGTGTACACAGGACACACCTTCATACATGGGCATGAGGAACCTGGGTAGAGCTTGGGATGAAGAGGAGGGAGGGGTGGACCAGGGAGCCAGCTCTCCCCAGCACCACGCGCTGGCACAGAACCGAGGAGTGTGAGAAACTTGTATTAAATGTGGCCTTCTGGGTTGTTCTGAAGGCATTCTTCTAGGGAGGAAAATGTATTTCCTTTGGCAGTGCAACTGCAACTTCATACATGGTCCTCCACTTACACTCTTTCCCAAATCAGATCCCCAGTTGCCCCAAAGACTTACTGGGGTATCCATACTGAAGAAACAAACCTAACTTGGACTCTACAGCAGCTGTCACCTATAGGCTTGGTTGAGTCGAATGTTTTCAGGGGGATTCTGAAGGCATCTTGGTCTCTGGCCTGGTGGCTGCATCAGCATCTGCATAGCCCAGAGGTCTTCCTGGATCTCAGGGACACTACAGGTATCACAGTTCCTCTAGCCCTATAGTCTGAATGGCTTTTCTGATTCGTCCAAACCTAAAGTCTTGCAGATTCCTCCAACCATTGACCAAGTTCCTACTGTACCAAATACCCTTCTGATGTTCTCTTGCTACACCTTTCTTAAAATTAAAAGAACTCTTTTATTATGCTAGTGTATGTGTGAATTTAATCATTTTCATGCAACTGTCAAATCTTCGCTTTCGGGGGCATGTAAATAGGAAGGTATTATGTTGATCCGTATCTCCTAATCATAAGAATCATGAGATGAAAATCACTATTAGTTGAAAAGCGTGTGGGGTAGGGGAATCTCCCGTACTGTAAATAACTAACTTACACACAGGCACACACACAAGGGAGAGGAGGGTCTTAGGGTTAACTCAGCACAACAGGGAAGTCTGCCCAACAGCAACAATTACACACAATTAGGGCAGGTGAAAAGAAATGGAGCATCACAGAGGACTAAAACTGTCCAGGTCTCGAATTTCCCAGAGGCCCTTGGCTGAACTCCTACACTGAGCAAGCTGCCGTGCAGCACACCATTTTCCAGTGCTCGGGAAATCGTTGCTACACAATACTGCCTCACCTGCAGTGGCAAAGGGCAGTGCAAAAACCAGCGTCCCCCGGAGAAAGCCTGTCAGAATAGCTACATGGTGCATGGAGATTACAGGGTTTCATGCTTCTAAATGCAAAAACACTTCGCAGTTTTCTGTCCTACCTAATTTAGACCAAACACTCTAACTGCAAGGAGCACTGCTCACCTTTAGAAAGCCATTCTCCAAGTAATAAAGCACCGTGTTTACAAGAAATCACTCCAGGGATTGAAAAGTGCTGCAGAAGCATTAATATGTCATCATATCACCGTTTCGAGCACGGTAGTATTACAATGCCTACTGCTGGGTATAGACGGACATGCCAAGGCACTGTACGCAACATGCTGCTTTCGGTTTCTCATTTTGGAAAAATTCAAACAACAAAATAGGGGACTTGGATTCTGAGGGATGCCTCAGCCACAGGAGGCCCTAACCAGTATCTGCATGACTGGAGGAATGAGTGGTTGACGGAATGCACTGCATTTTAGCCACAGATTTGCACTTACCTCACTAAAGAATTCTGCTGAGGAATCCAAAAGTGTAACCTAAACGGATCAGCCAGGGCTTCTTTTCCGCTCCTACAACTGGACTACTGATGACTCGGGGGAGTGTCAATAAAATGACTTGCGGGCTGGGAGCAAAGGGCAGGGCATTTCTGGAATACTGGGGGTTGTCACGCTGTGTTTACTTCTACAGCTTTTCAGTGTATGAACCAATGTTCTAAAAACTTCCCAACAACTTAGTGCTTATTCCTTCAACTGTGTATCATGTTTTCAAACAGCCCTCTGTTTCTTGCTGGATTAGAATAAAATCAACAATATGTTTGTGGCAGATTTTTCAGAATTTTTAAACATCTTGAAAGACCTGGCAGATACACACGGGGTGGGGCACAGGTAGGTTCACCATTATTCGACCGAAAAATAATACAATAACTAATAAATACAAGAATAAGCTGTTTCATGTATTCACAACTGTAAAGCTACTTTTGCCCCACCCTGTATATGAAATAGAGATTTAATAGAAATTAAGGGGTTACAAAAAGGTGAAGGTTACCTCTTGAATTACCAATAAGTGCAGGTTACTCCTTGAAGCTTCTAAACTCTTTTTTCTTTCACAGTTTTCAAAAGAAACTTTTAACAACAGGATTCCTCATTTGACCTGCCCCGTCTTACTGCTACCATAATGAGCATCCTGTACCGAATCCAGTGATACCATTAGAGGCTACTCGCCTAGAGCACGCTATTAAAAAACATGGAGCAAATGCTACTGGGCAATGACAAAAGTACACAGTACAATGAGAACAGAGGAGGGAGCAATCAGGGCGACTGAGTGACAAGAGGGGGGTCAAAAGAGGAATCAAGGAGAAGCCTGAGCTGAATCTTGAAAAGGGAGCAGATATTTGCCAAACAAAGTAGGAAAGGGCAGCCCAGGCTGCCGTGGCTGCTGTGATGTGCTGCACTGTTCCCCCTGCAGATCTGAAGGAGTCATTCCTACTGCTGGGAGCTCTGCAGGCAGACTATCCTCAGCTGCCCACCTTCAGAAGTCACTTCCGAGGAGGACACCTCAACCAAGGTCATGCCCCTTCCCAGGAAAGCTCATCTCCCATGACTGGTTGCCATGGGGCTCTGAAGGCCCAGCCCTCTCACCCCAGCTTGGGAAAATCTGAAGGTCCATTCCAAGTTTAGAGTTCCTTCCAAGTCTCTGGGTTGGTTAGGTAGGGCCTTTGTTGAGATGCTTCACAGTCCAACTTTCCTCTCCACCCAATCTTGCTTTCTTCCCTAGCTACTCCAACAACACTCCCTAATAAACCTCCTGTACACCAATTTCCATCTGAAGTCTGCTTCCTGGAGAACCCACCCTGGAAAAGTTAATGCCAGAAGTGGTACTAAAGGCAGATGCTGAGACAGGACTTTGAAGTCAGATCATCTGCTGCCCGAGTGGCCATGAGGACACAGGTACTGGGGGGTAGATGTTATGATGAGGGCAAGGTAGAAGTGACAGCCAGTGGGGGGCTTACCCACGGAATGCTAAGCAGATGGTTAATAGAACATGACATCTCCAAGGACAATACAGATGAGCAGCCAACAATGATACTACTCGATGTGGACAATCAATACACAAGGGTTGATGGCCTGCAGGATAAGGACATCACCTCGTTGAAAATTTGCAATTTATTGCCCAGTTTCCAGGCCTTCTCCCTTTTCTAGACCTGAAACTAAGGCTGCCAGATTTAGAAAAAAAAAAATCTATATATATAGATATATAGATATATGTACACACACACACATTATACATATATATACACTGTTTGTCCTGTATTTTATCTGATAACCCATTGACTAAAAGAGAGGCTTGATCCCCAAAGGGAAGGCCTCTCTGCAACGCCCTAAAAAGAAGATACAGCATTGATTCCTCCAATCCTGTCTAACAAAACTAAATAACATACTGGGAAAAGGGGAATACAAAAATACCCTGAGGCCTGTTGGACACAGGCTCTGCGCTGACAGGAACACCCGGGCAAACCAAAGCACTGTCCAGGTGCTCTGATTGGGGGGCGGGGGGGCCAGGAATGCCTGGAGGCGCCCATGCCCAGCACACAGCAAGCCCAGCTCGCTAGTCCCTAGCAAACGTTCCCGAACAGGACTTGTTTCCCTTTTTTTAGCTACTAGGAAAGCAGTTGCTATAAATATACACACGCAAGTTTTTGTGTGGACAAAGTTTTCATTTTTCATTGGTAATATCCGGGAGTAAAGTGAGTGGGTCACAGGACGGGAACAAAGTTTTCATTTAATTTTTTAGGGCTGCGTGACTAATTCCCCTTGTTTTATGAAGGCGCAGGGGGGAAGGGTCAGTACCGGGGCGGGGAAGGGTCGGTACCGGGGCGGGGAAGGGTCGGTACCGGAGCTGGAGCCCGGCGCTCCCGCCGACAAACCACCCGCCTCCGCCCTGCCAGGATGTCAGCCCTTCGCGGGCAGAAACCCCATCACCCAGCACAGCCTCTTGACTTTGAAATAGCCATTATGGCCCTTTTACAGTAAGTGACCGATGAGACTGGACTGTACCAAACTGCCACAGAGCCGGCGCTGGTGTCGGAATGGTTCATCCCATACAAACGGCCCAACCTCGGAGAGAGGGCGGCCAGCCCCGCCCCTCGCATGTCCCGGGTGTCGGGGGGGCGCTTCCACAGCACCTTCCACACCCCCAGACGACCCTGCTGCCTTCTGCTGTGGAGGAGGCGCGGCTTAGGCCCCGGAGCGAGGTCGGGGCTCAGCGCAGCAGGGGGGGCGGGGGCCCGGGCTGGGCTCCGGG